CCGACCCCAGCCTCACACACCGACCCCAGCCTCACACACCGACCCCAGCCTCACACAGCATCACACAGCGACCCCAGCCTCACACACCGACCCCCGCCTCACACACCGACCCCAGTCTCACACACCGACCCCAGCCTCACACACCGACCCCAGCCTCACACACCGACCCCAGCCTCACACAGCCTCACACAGCGACCCCAGCATCACACAGCGACCCCAGCCTCACACACCGACCCCAGCCTCACACACCGACCCCAGCCTCACACACCGACCCCAGCCTCACACACCGACGCTAGCCTCACACAGCCTCACACACCGACCCCAGCATCACATAGCGACCCCCGCCTCACACAGCAAAGCGACCCCAGCCTCACACACCGACCCCCGCCTCACACACCGACCCCAGCCTCACACACCGACCCCCGCCTCACACAGCAAAGCGACCCCAGCCTCACACACCGACCCCCGCCTCACACACCGACCCCAGCCTCACACACCGACCCCCGCCTCACACACCGACCCCAGCCCAACACAGCGAGTAGAAACCCGAGATCCCATAAATTTGTCAGACCTGCTACCAGATCTAGACAACGACACCCCTGCCTAATCTATATTTAGGTACAAACTCGTGCCACAAGCGACGATCTCCAGAGTCGAGTTTTTTATTTGGCGGGGTAGGTTTGGGTTTTCCCGAACACACAAATAGAATGGTTTTGTTGAATGAAGTATTAGAGGACCTTAAGCTTGTTCTAGGATTAGAGAATATAGGAGAGTGTGCTTCAATGGGCGGTTGTTCAGGGATTAAAGGGATAGTTGTCTTTGTTGATGGGATTTATTGGGATATATGTAAGAGTGTATGTGATTGTTGAGATATACGTTAGAGTTTATGTTATTAAGATATACGTTAGAGTTTATGTGATTTTTAGGGTACAGTACAGACCACAAGTTGGGATAGATCATTTAGTACTAGTTATTCCTTTCTAAAAGAAAAAAATAAAGTACCCTCTACGTCTAGAATACATTGTATTCTGAATGTGTATCTATTTTAAGTTTATTGCCCTGGGAAATAACATTTATAGTCTATACATCAGCAGACAATAGAAGAATAAGACAGACAAACAAACAAACAAATTGCATCAGTAGGAATTAGAGTGACAAAACAACAGATCCATGGAAACACTAAGACATATTGCTGGCACCGGAATAAAAGTTTATCTGTATCGCTGCTTTATATTCCAATATCGTATCATGTATGTATTTATCCAGATTAGTGTACTAGAGCTATATGTACACTTGTACACACAGGTTAGTCACATTTTCTGACAGCTAGTCTGTATTCTTTATCTTTGTCCCTTTACCATTCCCGATTTTCCAACATGTGTACGTCGTTTGTGTACGTCCTTTGTGTACGTCACGTGTGTACATCACGTGTGTACGTCACGTGAATTCTCTATCCTCCAACATCAGTTTGTCAACATGTCACTATTAAATTTCAAGTTATTCTTGCTTGTCAAAAGGGAAATGATGGTATACTGACAATCGCAAGTGTAGTAGAACATTGACAATATCAATTAGCGTGACACATTGCCAATCTTAACAATTAGCGAACCTAGAGATTGTGTACAAAAGTTGAGCCCAGACCACGTTGATGTATAGACATCATTCGAGCAAATATTTACACCTTAGTCTGCACCACCGCCCTAAAAAATTGTCTGCACCACCACCCTAAAATATCGTCAAGGAGTTCGAATTAGTCACTAATTTTTCTTTTTTTCTTTTTCGCCTTAGACATGTAATTTACAGCGTCAGTTGTGTGTTCGCTTTAGTATTACAGTTTTCATCACCGGCTTGTGAGGACTGATACAGATTTACAATAGTAATATTTCTTTCTTACTTGTAGCCTACTTTCATTCACTAATTGTAGCTTTATTTCAACGAAAACTAACATGCTTTTTGTAGAATTGCATTAGTAAATTTTATTTTAAGTAACCTGTTAAAGGCTAATACAATTGGGGAGGGGTGACAGGTAAATCTTTTGGGGTGGGGTTGAAAGTAGTGGGGGGGGGGGAGGGGTCTTAAACTCTTGTGAAGAAAATGAAAATTACATTACTTGATACTTTGTTTTTGTTAAGAGATGAACGCTGATCGGATTTAAGAACATTTAGTGTAGATTAAAAAAACAAACAAGATATTCTGAAATTCGCCTTGTCTGAACCTCATCACTAGTTCGGCAATGACACTAGAAAGGCTAAATACACTTGACATGAATGAAAATCGCAACAATTGCCTAGCCATTGTATGGAGTGATAGGCGATGGTATATCTAGACTCTAAAATTTCAACAACAAAAAAATCCAATTACTTTAAAAAAAAATTGGCTTAGAAATTTTGTTGTATTGTAGTGAGAGTTAGGAGACCAGTACTAAAAAGACTCGTTCAGTCTTCCAAGAAAAAAACAAAAACAAAAACACGTCGAAGAGAACACATTTTAAAATGTAAACAAAAGGGTTGCCAACCTCCTCCTCACCCACCCATCCCCCTTAAGTGCGATCATGTAGACTTTGTATTTTACAACACTCCTGAGGTAAGGTTGGGGTGGTTTGCTATTTTGTTATAAAATGTCATTGAGGCTACCGTCATCATTATCTTTTGCTTTTCGTTCCCAAGACATTTGGCATAGACGAAGTAGTGTGGTTATGTTTCAATGTCTCGGGCATACGGGGGGATATTGTGGGCAGCATTATGCCCAGCAACTTTGCATACAGGGGAATATTGTGGGCAGCATTATGCCCAGCCACCTTACTTTCCTAAATCTGAGTCAGGTACTCATCAGTACTGCATGGACTTAAGGACATCCTACGGACAAAAGCACGGGATTCGAACGCGAGGCTTTCAGGCTAATAGTCAAAATTTCAAACACCCGACCACACTGTTCCATTTTTTTTTTACTAAGCTCAATATATGCTTTTCAATTTTTACTTTCTATTATATACGAAGTATAGAGAAAGTATTGTAATCGTGCACAAAAATCACTTGAAATTTTAACAATTTTCACCGTATTACACCTCAGAAGTATAGAGGACTTATTTTAATCGGGCAAAAATTACCAATCCAGATTTATCAAAATTAAGAGGTTTTATGCGTAATCCATTCTGAAAAACTGGGCTTTGTGATTCTGTCCGTATGTCTGTGTGTCTGTGTGTGTGTGTGTGTCTGTCTGTCTGTATGTAAACACGATAACTTGAGTACCGTTACAGCAAGGTTGATGAAATTTCATATATAAGTATTTTATCAAAATCGTAGATCCGTATCAACTTTTGAGCGATTTCCGATAACCGGAAGTGGCACTTTTTCTACTTTGAATTTTTCAAAAGCCTATAATTTGAGTACTATTTCAGATAGATAAATGAAATTTCACATGTAAGTAAAAGATTTAACTCTCTACCTGGTTTTAAATTTTGAGTAATTTCCATTGACCGGAAGTAGTAATTTACGCTACTTCCGATTTCTCAAAAAACTAATGTAAATTTTTAAAGTACTAATAATATTGCGCACTATTATGCACTTTTTTATTTGGCGTTCACTTGGTGTGGAATTCTTTTGTCTACGAGATTTTATTCTACTTTTAAAACTTTAAGTATTTAAAATGGATTAAAAATCATGTCTATAGCCCGAGTTCCCATCCCCTGTTGTTTTTTATAAGAATTTTCGAGAAAGTTTAGGGGAGATCACTCCCGGTTTATTTTCCGATGTTTCCTGCTTTACTCAAAGTTCTAAAACTTGCATGAAATGTGTGTTGGTCTAGAATTTTTTAACATATATCTTGGGCAGTAATACTAGCAATAATAGTGACAGTTATGTCATAAATACAAACAGAATTAAGTAGTTTATTTTTATGTGTATGTGTGTGTGGGGGGGGGGGGGGGGAAGACGGTTGTGTAAATTGTTGACAACATGGGGCATTATCGTATCTGGCCTGGTTATATATTGTTTTTATATAAGTTTGGGTTTCAAAATCTCTTAAGAAATTTCTCACACTTAATGATCTGTTGATAAAAAAAAAAATGTAGATATTTTTTAATACCTTTATTTGCAATTTAAAACAAGTACGTCAACATATTTTGCATATTTTCGATTATGTAATGAAACCAAAGTATTTTACAAATGAGAATAAAAGTTAGATAAAATATGGAAGATGGATTTACAAATTAATACATATTAAAAGTGAATACAATTATTAATTAACAACATGGTATGCTGTTGATGTGTTTTTAAATAGGCCTAATTAAAAAAAAACGATCACAGTAGTGGATCTGCGACTAAATCTGCCACTAATTCATTTTACAGAGAACATTTTCAATATTAAAATGTGTTGGTTTGTTTTTTAATGTTTTGGAAAATGCAATAAGCTGACACAAAATAGTATTTTTCAAATACAAGACAAGAAATAAAATATTTAGGCCTATTTTAAATTTATTATAACAAATTTCCTTTTCTGGATTTCTGTTTTAGAGAAAAAAACTTCATAATACGTACGTTAAAATTTAATACATATTATGAAAAGAATATATAACATTATTTCCCTTTTAAAGTTGCGCGCGCAACCCGGCAGTATCGAGCGTCGATGTGACGTAACGCGGGTGCCGTGTAGCGAGGAGTTGCTTCCCCACAAGACTTCGTGCTATCACAAGGGAGAGAAAAAAATCAATAGACCAAGACCAGCGCTTGCAGGCGATTGGCGATCAGCCGGCTCTCAAGTGGAAAGCAATTCCAGCTCTCCCAGACCTTTCACGAGATTCCTGGCCTCGCGTGTCAATCCTCGCCTTAGTCCCGCCCCTTACGTCTCTCTTTCCCCCTGCCGTGTGAAATCTGGGTTAGGGTCACGTCAGGTCACGGGAGCGGCCTTGTGATTGGTTAATGTTTAAGACGTTGTGGTTTATCACCATTCGGAAGCGCGCGCATGTTGTTGGGGCTGCCTCAAGTACCGTAAAACGCGTAAAAGAGGCCATAGCGCGCCGGTTTTATAATCTTCGCCATTCTTTGCCGGCTTTCTTCAAATGATTTTGTCGGTGCTAAAAATTATTTGACTACGATATTGATGGTTTCAGCGGGGCTTTACTGCCGGGGGTATTCTAGTTGCAGACCCGAGGACCATAACTCCGGCCTTGATCACCTAGGACCTCAGCAACTCACGGCTGGCACGGCAAACATCACCAACAACAGCCTAGGCAATAATCTTAATCTTAATCCTAACCCGATCAACTACGGACTTAGTGATTACAACACTTCAGGTCTAGGATCCGAACCGGGGTTCGCTACGCCCGGGGCTGGGGACTCAACCACGGCGCTATACGGAGGTGAGTGCCACAGGGGTAGCGCCATGAGCTCGTACTTACCTCTGCGTCACACCGGTACCCACGGGGTGCCCCCGGCGTCACGTGGTCCGGGGACGGAGGACGGCGTCATGCACGGGATGACCGGAGTCATGGACGGCGGAGGATACATGGAACATTTCCTGAACATCCCGGAGATCTGCCCGACGGGCTCCTACAGAAACCCGCGTTACTACATGGGTTCCTACAACGCCGACGCCTGCCGCATGGAGGCGCTACAGCAGCAACACAGGACTCACCACGACCTCCGGATGGGGCTCCAAGGCTCCCGGCCCTCGTTCTACCCCAACATGAACATGGGCATGCGTTTCGGGGACGGCATGGACGCCCAGGTGGGCGCCAACTGCCTCCCCCAGCAAAACAGGGCGGACACCCTGTCCCCTTGCACGAAATCGGTGGCGCCCGATGCTGAGCCACCCTCCTTCTACCCCTGGATGTCTATAGTAGGCAAGTTGCATTTTTTAAATCTATTCACACATTCCTTTCATAGTTTACAGGCTCAAAAATCACAATTTAATATTTTACTACGTATATATCACCTACAATTGCAACTTTTATTACGCCAATTTCAGAGTCCAAAAATCTATCCCACAAACCTAGTTCAGAACAAATAGTTTAGATACTCATCTCTTGTGAATAACACACCTGCGCAGGTGTTACCTTACTATACCGATCTACACTTTTAAACTAACCGTTTTCGGTCGATAAAGTCAAATGCGATTGTAAACACACCTTAAATTGGTTTTAATAATTGTAAATTAGCTCTAGCACACGTTATTTTAAGCCCATTTACACACTGGTGTGGTACTCTGTAAATACAGATGGTGAGGTATACTGTAGGTTTATTATCTAGGCTGTCTAATGATATGGAGTATAAATATTGTGTGCAGCTATTTAAAAAAAATATACATAAAGCAAACTACACTTTAACTGCGTTTAAATTTGTGACTGACAAAGTATAAATTTGACTCCTTCAGTACGCTTGAATCTAACTCTTGTAAAATTATTATCGAGATTATGCAGGAATGAAGTTAAAATCTTGGAGCAGTTATTTATAGTTTATACTTTAATTTTCGATAAGTTAGCTAACAATTTAGAATAATATGTTACCAATTTGTTAGTCTTTAATAGGTAAAAAAAGTTTAATGCGGTGAAAAGACTTTCTGACAATTTAATCTTGTTTTAAGGAGATACTATATCAATTTAGGAGATAATATATCAATTTAGGAGATAATACATCAATTTAGGAGATAATATATCAAATTAGGAGATACTATATCAATTAAGGAGATAATATATCAATTAAGGGGATAATGTATCAATTTAGGATATAATATATCAATTAAGGAGATAATATATCAATTTAGGAGATTACCAATTAAGGAGATAATATATCAACTTACCATTACTTAGAAAGACTAAAAGTCAAAAGTTAGAACTATATTTTTTTCGTAAAATTAATGTGAGCTTTAGATCTAATTGGGAAGTTAATACATATACATATTTTTGGTTAAAATTGCAATATGCAAGATTCTTTTATACTTTGTATCTAAGTCAAAAAATAATAATAATGTATGATTAAAACAAAGATTACATTAAAAGAAGGTAATTGTAATTAATAAATTAATGGTAAGTCTTTAAATAATTAAGATTGTAGAAAACATGTAGCTTACATGTGTTTGTGTAAGGTTTAGAATTAACGTTTAGCTTGAAGTAGAGTTAAATTTAAGAATTAGAATTAAGGTTTAGCTTGTGTAAGAGTTAAATTAAAGTTTAGAATTACGGTTCAGAATTAAGGTTTAGAATTAAGGTTTAGCTTGAAGTAGAGTTAAATTAAGGTTTAGCATTAGCTTATGGTTTGGATTCAGACTTAAGGGGATCCACGGGTCACCGAAAGGTCTATAAATAATAAAAATATCGATTTTCCGATTATCGTATTTTTTATTAGTTTATTATCTTGCAAATCGTTTTTCGAAGTTTGGTTTTAATAAACATATCGTTTTTACATTGAAAATATGTTTAAAAGGGGGTGGGGGTAATCATTTTCCTTGAAAACTTCACAAAAATTGGTTGATTTGCTGCGTTTATAAGTTTGGAATACACGATACCATGGTATCATGTTTGGTATCGTCGGAAAGCTACGCATTTCTTCTACCAGAATTTCCCGGCCAAAACTAGATCTATTTATAATCATTGACCTAAAAAGTCTTCATTCACACACTCCCATCTGTGCAATGATTGGCTAATCCGTTGTTAGTAACAATTCTGAGTATTTTGATTGGTCTCTGACCGCCATCCTGCCTCGCGTTTACACTACCCCGGACAACAATGCATTGCGCGCATGTCGATTCAAGGCATCGAAATCCTTTGTTTTGTTTCAAGACTGACTGCATTTTCTCTTTCAAATTAGCGGTTTACTTTTGATTTCGTCCAATAATGTAGGTAAGGAAAATATATTTCTAGATCTACATTCTATTACTACTTTTACAATATTTGATCGAACTGGTTATTTATTTGATTAAAATAGAAACTCGAGAGAAAAATATGACGATCTCGTCACAACAATGCCTAGGCAAGCTAGTACTAGTGAAGCTAGCTAGTGATCTAGAGCCTAGAATACCAGATCTAACTCTAGAATACATCTAGATCTAGATTTTAGATCTAGATTCTAGAATCTAGATCTAGTTTTACTAACTAGGCAAATCTAGCCTAAATCTAGAATCTTTGCCTGATCTGATTACATACTTGATCATACTAAAACTAGATCTAGATTTAGATCTAGATCTAGAATCTAGATCTAGAATCTAGATATAGATCTACATACATAGTACATAGTACAATCACAGTTACAGTATTAGACATTAGAGTATTAGCCTAGTAGTATACTATTAGTATTAGGCTACTAATCTATTATAAATTATTATTAGGTCTAGATCTAGTTTATTTATGGGGATGATATGATATACTTCTAGATCTAATTAGTAATTATATCACTAGCCTGACTTATTTTGAAGTTACATCTAGCTGCTATACTAATTATAATTGTATTAGCCTATATCTTGTAGTAAAGTAATAATTATTTGGCCTATGATATATACCTAGCTCTGAAAAATAATAATAGCCTTATTATGGTTTTAGATCTAGTATTACTAGATCTAGTAAGTGTTAGTATCATTAGTTATTATGCCCTTATTTAGTCATCTTGTGTGTTTATTTTTCAGTTGTTTTATTATTTCTTTATCACTACAGTGCCATCGTTCAAGCAAAAAGCTTCCCAATGTTTCTAGCTAAGAAGAAAATGACAAACAGAGGTCCTGAAGTGGAAAATAGATGACTCAGGCATATGAGAACTTTAGTATGCTGGGTGCTACTCTACAGCCAGCAAAGAGATTCAGGAGAAAGATGTAAGCGTAAGGATGCCTTTTTCAAAATGTAATTTTTTCCTTCTCAGAAAAAGAGCTGCTTGAGTATGCCATACCCTCAACTTATGCTCTGAGTCCCAGTCCATGTTTATCAAGCTCAAGTTCTAGTGTGCTACCTGCCATTCATGTCTGCTGTTGAAGAGTGATAACAGCAAAAACTATGAACTGTCAGTCTACGTGCAGGTATAATGCAACTCATGTGATGAGGTTGGGTCATCCTGCGATTTCGTGCGACTCTTGAACCTTCAAAAGGTTCAGAAACATGAACTTGTGAAAATCTGTGCCATTAGGGTGAACAAGGCTTAGAAATCCCTGATATCAATTCAGTATCAGGTATTCATGAGGAAGGTAAGGTTGGCTAAACAAAATGAAAGTGATAGGATTGCCGTAATGCATGGAGCGGGTGGGGGAGTAAGTAAAAAATGTAAGCCTGGTGGAGATTATATATGTTAAGAAAATGTAAACAATCAATGAAAGTTATTAACTGTTTGTTAACATATTTGTATTATTATTGTTGCATGATAAAATGTGTCATAGTATGTTAAAAAAGGAAATTCGTTAATTTTTTAATAATTTTTTTAAGGGGGGTGCATTGTTTTATGTGCTCTAAGTAAGGGTAAATTATTTTAAATGATTATGAAACCATGCTTTTCTATATCACAGGTGAAGTGCCTTGTGAAAATATGTATTGTTTTGTTCTTGTGATGTTAACCTGTTATCAGAAATTTGAAATTAAACCTATTTTTCTGTTTTTCGGAAAATAAATTTTTTTAACGCATACCATTTGTTTTATTTTGTATTTCTTAAAATGTGTTCGTTGTATTGTGATGAAACTTTGTGTACTTGCTTAGAGGTGGACAAGCTAATTAATAACGATAAAGTTTTTGAGAAAAGTGATATGTGAGTTAAAATATATTTTTTTTAGTGGTAACTGAAACCGAAAAGTGACAGTTTGCGAACAATTTATAATGTCTGTAAGTAAAAATGGAACAAAATCAAAACCATATCGTCTACCTCAAAAGTCTTATCGTTAGAACTTTAAAGAACCATTTAGTAATTTAAATAAAAAGATTGAAGTTTCTAGTTACAGACGTTTTTTAAAAACACATATTTCTGTGGGGTCACGTTTTTACTCTGTAGACCCCTAACCACAAACAAAAAAGGTGAAAATATGAGAAAAATTATTTTTTTTAAATTTTATAAGGGATATTTAAGTCTGTCTGCACACACTGAAAGTATTCTATCAGTAAAATTCTTCTTTTTAAAAAAAGTAATTTTGAACTTAGTTGACCCCCTTAAGTGACATAAACACATGTTTGCACACGTAGGTCTATATGTGCTATTGTTTATCTTACAATCTAGGTTTTGATAAAATAAATAAATTATACTGCATAAGGAAGTGAAGAAATATATATATAATCATAAAAAACCAACAGCTAGGAATACATATTAATTGTTCCCCTATTTAAATATGTAAATTTACTCTGTGAGAAGGTTTATAAGTCAGTCGAATATCACTATAATATCACTATAATATCACTATAATATCACTATAATAACTATAATATCACAATGATATCTCTATAATATCACTATAATATCAATATAAAATCACTAAAATATCAATATAATATCACTATAATATCACTAAAATATCACTATAATAATATCACTATAGTATCACTATAATATCCATATAATATCACTATAATATCACTATAATTAAATAACATTACAACACATGGCTTAGACTAGAGAAACATGTCTTTATAAAGCATGCTTATATCTCATTAGTTATTTATGTTAATTTATATAACGACTTCTGGTTTTCTGCTCATGTAAAATTATTTGCAAATGAATTCGCAAACGTTGGTCCAAGTTTACAAAAAAAAAAACAAAAAAAAAAAACAACATATTAGCTTATATAAAGAAAGATCTGGATATGTAATAAAATACCTGAATGTAAATTTAGAAATTAAAAAAAAAACGGGAGTTCCCGAAATACGTGTGAAGCACAGACGCGTTGTGTGTAGTGTGTAGTATGTGTATCGCTTAGTATGTGTGCTTAATATGTGTAGTGTATTTTTTTAGTCAGCGACCTGAGTGCGTGTATACGTAGATTTAAAATCCGTGTCCAAATATGCTTGCGGATAATTAATTATGCTTTAATTAGGGGTGTGTGGCTTTTGGATAGGCTGTGTGTTTTCTATGTGTGTGTGTGTGCAGGCTGTATGTATGTGTGTACGCGTATGTGTAAGTGCCTATGAGTGCGTGTTTGGGTTTAAGTCTTTATGCCAGTGTCAATCGCTTAACCTTGGGTCCGCCTGCGTGTTATGTAAATATATGTGCCTTGAATGTCTGTATGCCACTGTTGATACACTAATCTTGGGTTCGCTTGTGTGTTATGTATGTGTATGTGCCGTGTGCGTCTGTATGTCTAAATGCCCAAGCCGCCATCCTAACCTTGGGCTAGCCTGTATGTCGTGTATGTGTATGTGCTGTGTATGTCTGTATGTCTAAATGCCCATGTCGCCATCCTAACCTTGGGCTAGCCTGTATGTCGTGTATGTGTATGTCGTGACGTCTGTATGTCTAAATGCCCATGTCACCGTCCTTAAACCTTGAGTTCGCCTGTGTATGTGTATGTGTCGTGACGTCTGTATGTCTAAATGCCCATGTCACTAGCCTTAAACCTTGAGTCCGCCTAAACAAGAGATGATTGTTCTCTTAGCATAATTGAACAACGGGACACAAGTGGTACAATCTCTCCTTTACACGGTATGTTTCTAAGCCACTTGTGTCACACATCCCTACAGATGTTACGGTAAAGCTTCTGTTGTTTGCTAAGATAATTCTTAAAGTCGGGATGTGTATGTGTGAGTGGAGGGGGAGGGGTCTTATTTAAGAATGTTTACATATGCATTCTAAAAAATAACTACCAGTACAAACATCCCAAACGAAATATATTTAAATTTTGCTGTTTTTAGGTTTGTTTGTTTATAAATATAACACAGCATTACTTGTATAAGCAATAGGTAGACTAAAACTAAAATAATAAAACTCAACGAGTTAAGTTTTGAATTGCTAAGTCTTCTTAATAATAATCTTGGGTTGGTTAATTGCCTTTTCCAAACCACCTTTGTCTAGAAGAGTTACATTAGTTTAGCAATGACTGTCCTACTCCGTAGTAGGTATGACATCTCTAAATGTCCTACTCCGTAGTTTGTATGACATATCCGACTGTCCTAGTCCATAATTTGCATGACATATCTGACTGTCCTTCGCTATAGCTTGTATGATATATCTAATTGTCCTAAATTTATTTACATTAATGTATGTGATACCTAACATATGTGAGAAACTTAGCACTACCTGCTGTAGTTCATACGAACAATACATCTTTGCATACATCAGCTAGCAAGATTAGCACTAGTTACATATATACATAAGCTGCCTGCACTATACATCTATTTAGAATTAGAAATATTTATAAGATAGAGCCCATTACTATTTAATAAGAAATATGTTAACAACACAGAGAAAAGAGTTAAAATTATGTGATTCACCCTGATCGTGGTCAAAAATTAGAAGGGGTATTATTTGTTTACTATATATTAAATGCTAGTATTTTAATTGTATTGTATACCATTTTCAAAATGTAATGCTATAAAAGTATACATGTAAAACTTGAACGTATGCATTTATATAACAAACACCGACTAAATCTATAACTATTATTGATTGACAGGGCGTGGTTGTTAATTAATGATAATCATTTCTCCTACTCATTTAAAAAACTCAATCATCCGTTTAATTGTTTTGTGAAAAGTAAGCATTAACCACAGATTGGGAAAATCTAAAAATCGGTTTTTACAATAATGCTTCATAGAGATGACATATGGTCAGTCAATGTTTCATGGAGATTATATGTGGTCACTTAAAGCTTCATGCAGATGATATGTGGTCACTCAAAGATTCATACAGATGATATGTGGTCACTCAAAGATTCATACAGATGATATGTGGTCACTCAAAGATTCATACAGATGATATGTGGTCACTCAAATGTGAGAGAAACAATTCAATTAACGTTTATTTGCAATGTTACTATAGTCATTGAAAAATGTAAACCGTATGCATCCGTTTTCCCTGTTATTTCTGAAATATCCTTTTAATCAGTGCTCTCTCATTATGTTATTATACCTATTCATTTATTGTGTTCTGGTAATGTTGATATAGCCATTCAGTGTTGTTTGGTAATGTTGATAAAGCCATTCAGTTGGTGTATCTAGTAATGTTGGTATAGCCATTTAGTTGATATATCTAGTAATGTTGATATAGCCATTTTGTTGGTGTATCTAGTAATGTTGATATAGACAATCAATTTGTGTATCTAGTAATGTTGATAAAGCCGTTCAGTTGATGTATCTAGTAATGTTGATAAAGCCGTTCAGTTGATGTATCTAGTAATGTTGATAAAGCCATTCAGTTGGGGTATCTAGTAATGTTGATATAGACAATCAATTTGTGTATCTAGTAATGTTGATAAAGCCGTTCAGTTGATGTATCTAGTAATGTTGATAAAGCCATTCAGTTGGGGTATCTAGTAATGTTGATATAGCCATTCAGTTGATGTATCTAGTAATGTTGATATAGGCAATCAATTTGTGTATCTACTAATGTTGATATAGGAAATCAATTTGTGTATCTACTAATGTTGATATAGGCAATCAATTTGTGTATCTACTAATGTTCATAAAGGCAATCAATTTGTGTATCTACTAATGTTGATATAGGCAATTAACTTGTGTATCTAGTAATGGATAAATCGTTTCTAATAGAAATGTCTAACAATGTCTCCAAGTTTTCTGTATCTTGGTTAATTAAAACTACGTCATCTTTATAACAGTTTCAAACATTTGATTTCATTGGAAACGAGCAGTTTTCAGTTTGGCTAAACTATCCAGCAGGGCAACAAAATCAATACAATTATATCGATCTCAACAGGTTCGGAATCGATCTATAAGTCAGGAGATGGGGTAGGTTTGGTGCACGTTTTAAAGCTATCTAAAATATTTATTTTTATTATAGTTTCTCTCGGCGTAAGGTGCATCGAAAAGGTAGTTCTAAACATGGATGGGACTATGGGAAGTTTATAACTTGTAAAACAATTATCTTAATCTCTTGTTAATCTCTTCCTTTTACAAGTAAACTATATCCGGCGCGTCGGTTTCATCCTATATCACTGAGATCGTATATTTCATCTATATCCATTCTTTCACCTACATTGTGTCACCTAAATTATATATTTTTATATGCCACCTACATTGTATATTTTAACTACCTCCATTCTCTCACCTGCATTATAAATACCATCTATATTATATATTTTATCTATAATCAACGTGTCACAATAATTAATCGTCTATATTAATGTTCTATAGTAAAGTCCTATATTGATTTTTTATATTATTGATACTGAGGTTATATAAATGATTCAGGTATATCATAAACATAGCTACTAGCCTGATTTCGCGACTAATCTTTATGTCCTCAACACTAGTTTCGCCAATTAATATTAGCGTCTTAGACTAATCAAACTTAAAATCTAATCCGCATTATTAAATGTATTTTGTTTCAAATCTTTCTACACAACACTTTAGTGGTACAGCTATAGAACTTTATCATCCTGGGGCCCATATACATGTGACTAAAATAACTCATTATTTTTTTAAAACATACATAATCTTTTCTCGTTTGTGCCCAAAACACATGGGGCT